CCCCCCCCCCCCCCTCCGGGAAATTAAGAATATACTCCCCTGGAAAAATATGCATAAATCGAATAAAAAGATTTTCTCTCTTTTTTAGAATATTTTGGAGGTGATTTTGTTATGATCTCTCAGTATATTTTATTTTTTACAGTTTTTGAAACCCTTTTGATACTAATCATAGGATTCTGTTCAGTTTGGTGATAAAACTTTATGAACCATTAAGACATAAAGAAATTTTGAATCATCTCTTATAACTGAACAGTTGATATTGTGCCCCATAGATCCGCATATATGTGCGGATCCTGATCCGGATCCTGGAAGCCAAAATGATCCTAAGTTCTGCTTTTCATAATATTTATTAAAGACGGCAATGCCTGCTTCACAACGGTTCTCTTATAACTATTTATAACACTGTTATTTTGGTTCGCAGTGTTATAAAGTTTTTGGACAGAAACTTGTTCTTAATAGAGAAGGTTCAAGTCTTTTTAGATTTAATTTTGTCCCAAGCTTTAGCGAGGGACAAAATATAATCTAAAGTCCAAAAATTTCATAGCATGTCGTGCCAAAATAACAGTGTTATAGGTAATTTTATGAAACGTTTGTGCACTTGTCTTATATCCACAAATTTTTGAAGAAACTCCGGGAACCAATCAGAATTTTATAACCCACGTGCTAAAATGTACAGCTAATTTAACATTATAGCACGATGATTACTTTATAGCACGTTCATTATGAAATTCACCATGAAGTGAGTAGTAATGATAAAGTACACAATATTTTCGTAAAGAATAGAAATACTTTTAAAGGGTACCGTTGTAAATCGGACATCATCATCTTTGCATGAAGGGTCACTTGAAATTACGCTTACAGTTCTTTAATTCTGATTTTTGTTTAAGGTAAACTGCTGCAGGTTCTAGGCAGGCATAAAGCACAGTTGCCTGGTCTCAAGCACATTATTGTTTTTAAGGTAGGAGAATTATCGGAAATAAAAAAATTTAAAATTCCATGAAACCAAATTTGAACCAAAATGCAAGCAAACATAGATTATGTATATATCTTAAGATAGTCCTTCGGGTGTTGGAAATTTTCAAAAACTGCCAAGTAGTTCAGATAGATATTTCTGGTAATTTTTAAAGTACAATAAAGGCAGCATTTATATTTTTGGTAATTTTAAAGTACAATAAAGGCAGCATATATAATTCTGGTAATTTTAAAGTACAATAAAGGCAGCATATATATTTCTGGTAATTTTTAAGTACAATAAAAGCAGACCACATTTTGGAATTGGCAGGACTAGGGCTATTTAGTTATTATCGTTTGTCAATCATATTTGTAAAGTTTTGTTGTAAATTTGTCTGATTAATTATAAATTTCTGGTTATCACTGTACAAAAGTAACAGAAATGACAATTTTATAAAGAAAAGATAATTTAATTTTCTAAGTTAAATAATTTTGTTTAGGATATTGCTGGCAAACCTGTCAACACAAGAAACTGTCCTCAGGTGCGTTTCTTATATCGTCATAATATTCATTTATATACAGTGAGGCTCATAAAATTGTGGAATAGGAAGACGACTGTAAGTCTGTATGTTATGACCTGAAATATTGTTATTATGTCTGGAAACATCACGCAAACTAAATAAAATTAACTTCAAACAACAAACCCACTATCCGCGAAGTTCGTCGTCAAATCCTAATTCAGTAAACTCATTTCAGCATTCGTCATGGTTGGTAGGATATCCCTAAATTTATTATTTCATTTCATTTCATTCGATTCGATTCGATTCGATTCGATTCGATTCGATTCGATCTGATTTGATTTGATTTGATTTGATTTGATTATATTTGATTTGATTATATTTGATTTGATTTGATTTGGAACACAGCAATTGTACACAAACCCATTCCACAAAACAAGATAAATTATTGTTTTTTCAATGTCGGATTGCTATTCTACAGTGTTATGGGTTTCACTTTAGTTTTATTGTTTTGAGCTTTGCTTGACTTTATTTAATATAGTGATAGTAGATGCAGGGTTACCCTCATAGGATGAGACTGTAAAGACGACATAAATTCTGTTCAGTCGTCTTTGAAGTCTCGTCCTTTGTGGGTCTCCCTGTATAAGGATGTGATGTGGTATCATGTGCTTATTCATTACTGTGACGTAGTTAGTAACTTCAGTATTGTAAACAATAGCTAAGATTGCAAACATTGCTCTGTATTTCTGAGTCAAAGGGACAGAAAGGGTCATTTCACGTGACAATCCATGCACAGGTAGCAATGCCCGATTCACAACGGTACCCTTAAACCTTCCTGTAGTACACAAATGCGCAAGACACTTTTGTTGAGAAAATAATCCGTTTCTAAAATGATAAACTTTGATATCTAATACATACTTGATCAGACGAATCAGGCATTGCCATCTTTACATGGAGAATCACTTGAACTAACGCTCATGTTTGTTTACAATAAAACCAGTTCTTGATCTTTTCTAATACGTCACAGTAAAATGTTAACAATTCCTATTCCGCAAATCTTAGTTTTTTGTAATGAATTTTTTTTTGGTCGACAAAGGGTTGCAGACGATTAAAGGTCAAAAAGTGCAAAAAACGAGAAATAAGTATTTAAATCATAATTAGATCTGGCCGTAGTGCTTGGACTAGAAACCCAGTTTGATCTAGAACATGGACTAATAATATGTTAAAACTAATGTAATGGCCGTAGCGCTTGGCCCCATATTCTGTCCTAGCCGTGGCGCTCGGCCCCATACTCTGTCCTAGCCGTGGTGGTCTTAACCTAACCTAGAATTAGTCATATTGCCCGTTTCTCGTTTGCCCCTTTGTCGCGTTTTTGCATGTGTTTCATTTGCATGTTTTTTTGCACGAATTATTTTTTAGGGTATTATTTTATTAACCCTTAGATTTTGGATTTTTCTTTATTAAACTAAATGTTATATTTTTTTGTTTAAAACATTATTTTTCATTCGTTGTTAAACTTTTTGGTGTCTGTTTCCTTCTATTTCTTGATATACAGGCGCAGCATCAGGTGAAACTCTATTCAATTCAACATTCAAGGAACTCACGTATTTTCAAAGACCCTCGATGCAAAGATGGCACTGCCCGATTCACAGTGGTACCCTTTTAACCTTTGTATCAATACTGAGAAGATATTGTCGATTCTCATATTTTGAAAGCGTTTATTTCTGTTAATTCCAATATGTTTTCCTTGAGCAGTAAACAGTCACTTTCAAAGAATCCTCAATAGAAAATAAACAATTGTTAAAATTATTAACATTCATATCTGCTTCAGTATTGATCAGGCAAAGCTTTAAAGTACACTTTTATATCGGGCATTGCCATCTTTGCATAGAGGGTCACCTGAAATTACGCTTACAGTCCCTTTAAAATCTATATCCTACTTTTTCTATTGGTTATTTTTATTTGTATAATAGCGACAAGCGGAAATATGAACGAAGATATCTAGTTTTCTTTATTATTGTTACTCAGATAACAGTTTAAAGGGTACCTTTTTAGATCGGACATGCCACTCAATTGATTGAATTCAGGTTCAGTCCCTTTAACTGAATAAATTTCTCAAGTTCATTAAAAAGATATTGTCGTGAATCGGTTATGGTATTTTATTATAGTTAGGGTGGACTTCTATAACAATTTAAAGACGTTTCATTTTGCAGGATGTGAGAACCTTAACGTTTGAGGAGGTCATTGCTATAGGGGAGGCGGGACTAGGTAATAACTTTACTCTGTGTGTTAACAATCTATTGCGATGCGGATCAATCCTACTTTAGATCCTTTCAATGTTACTAAATGCTATTCCTTCAGTTATTCCTTCAGTTATTTCTTCATTTATTCCTTCAGTTATTCCTTCAGTTATTTCTTCAGTTATTCCTTCAGCTATTCCTTCAGCTATTCCTTCAGCTATTCCTTCAGCTATTCCTTCAGTTATTCCTTCAGTTATTCCTTCAGTTATTCCTTCAGTTATTCCTTTATTTCCGACTAGCTTTGGAACCCATCTTTGCCTGACAACTAATTTCCTCTTTAAAACTCAGAACTAAATCAAGAACATTTTCACCGAGTTCAAAATGTCAGGCCAATCGGTCAAAGGGTTCCTGAGTTATGATCGGACGAATTAAACAGAGATTACTACTTAATAATATGGTAACAACTCAGTAAAAATATTTTCAGAAGCAAGACATTTCTACCCTGCAAAGTAATTGTCGGAAATCTATAAATTGCTCATTTTTTTCCATTCCTTGCTCGGTCAATTTTTAATATTTTTCAATTCTCTGAATTAATTTTAATTCGAAAATTCAGCCCAGTTCCAGTTATTTATTTTGAGAAGAAAAAAAATCTCGAAATACTATTGAATTTTTTATCCAAAAAAATAAACATTTGAGACAGCAAATTTAGATCTTTCTTAAAAATGCATTTATTGAATGTGCTCCCAAGTGGATTACAATATATATATATTGTATATCCCTGACATTGATGTATAATGTATATATTGTATATATATTGTATATCCCTGACATTGATGTATAATGTATATATTATATATATATATTATTTATCCCTGACATTGATGTATAATGTATATATTATATATATTATTTATCCCTGACATTGATGTATAATGTATATATTATATATATTGTATATCCCTGACATTGATGTATAATGTATATATTATATATATATTAATTTTTATATCATCAAGTTAGTTTACTTTTGGTCCGGTTTTTATATCATCAAGTTGGTTTATTTCTTATTTTCTTTAGATATATCGGGTTCTTACCGTTAGCCCATGTTCTGGAACTACTGGCGGAGACAAGCTGTTTGATGTACGGAATCAAGATTGGATACTCTTCTAGCTTGACACTTACCAGTAAATCAAGCAAGGTAGGAATCAAGATTAGATACTCTTCAAGCTTGACACTTACCAGTAAATCAAGCAAGGTAGGAATCAAGATTAGATACTCTTCTAGCTTGACACTTACCAGTAAATCAAGCAAGGTAGGAATCAAGATTAGATACTCTTCAAGCTTTACACTTACCAGAAAATCAAGCAAGGTAGGAATTAAGATTATATACTCTTCTAGCTTGACATTTACCAGCAAATCAAGCAAGGTAGGAATTAAGATTAGATACTCTTCAAGCTTGACATTTACTAGCAAATCAAGCAAGGTAGGTTTGAATAAACATTAGATATTCTTCAAGGTTGACACTAACCAGTAAATCAAGCAAGGTAGGTTGGAATCAAGATTTGATATTCGTCAAGCTTGACACTAACCAGCAAATCTAGCAAGGTAGGTTGGAATCAAAATAGGATATTATTCAAGCTTGACACTAACCAGCAAATCAAGCAAGGTAGGTTGGAATCAAGATTTGATATTCGTCAAGCTTGGCACCTACCAGCAAATCAAGCAAGATAGGTTAGAATCAAGATTGGATACTCTTCAAGCTTGACACTAACCAGCAAATCAAGCACGGTAGGTTAGAATCAATATTGAATACTATTCAAGCTTGACACTTACTAACAAATCAAGCAAGGTAGGTTGGAATCAAGATTGGATATTCGTCAAGCTTGACACTAACACTAACCAGCAAATCAAGCAAGGTAGGTTGGAATCAAGATCTGATATTCGTCAAGCTTAACACTTACCAGCAAATCAAACAAGATATGAACGAAATCAAGATTGGATACTAGTCAAGCTTGAACAGCAAATAATTATTATTATTAAAATTCATACTTATAATAATTATTATTATTATTATTTTCTTGTTGTACAGGTGAAGGCTGGATGCAAGGGAGATGCTAATGTACTGCAACCAACTCTTATGTGTTCAGGGGTGTACATGAATATATAGATACATAGATACATAGATACATAGATACATAGATACATAGATACATAGATACATAGATACATAAATACATAAATACATAGATTCATAGATTCAAAGATACATAGATACATATATAAATAGTATGTTGATTATTTATTACACCTTGTAGTTCCGTTGATCATTGAGCGTATCTACAAGAGTGTTGTAGACACGATGAACAGGCAGGGTTGGTTTGTGGAGGAGTTGTTCCACTACCTTGTTAGTTATAAAACAAAGTGGCAGGGAGGCAGACAATCAATCAATCAATCAATTTATTCATCACCCATTAAGCAAGCAATCAATCAAACTACACAAAATGTAATTCTCAATTTAATCTTCCTAATTCAAGTTGATGTTCTTAAGAATTAAGAATTTCAATGCCAGATTACCACCGGTACCCTTAGTAACCTTAATCCGATTAAAAGCAAGGAAGAAACCGTCGTTTTTCAGACTAGAGAAAGGTTTAATATTTATGATTTCTCTTTGTTTCTTAAATTCAAGAAATGCAAAAGTCACTTTTGTAGGAAACTAAAAATCAAAATAAACAGTTTTAAAAAAACAAAAACATGGATATATAATTCATGCTTTATCATAAAGAGGTTTGTAGGGTACTGTTGTAAATCGGGCATTGCCATCTTTGCACATGGAGGGTCATTTGAAATATCTCTTACGTAAGTCCCTTGATTCAAATTTCCATTATATCTATCCGAAAATGTCAAGTAAAATATCAATGTTTATAGTTTTAAAAAATGATTATTTTCAATTGCTAGTTCTCTTCTAAATTGATTTGCGCATTTCTACTGCAGGTGAACAAAAAGAAGTTATCATAATTAATCACTCGGAAATCATTAAGGTTTTCATGGTAAACCGCTGTGAATCGGGCATTGCCATCTTTGCATGGAAAGTGACATAAAATTGTGCGTACAGTCCCTTTAATATTGATTGTCTGTTGTACTGCAGGACCGAGGGTTTGATACTCCTCTCCTCAACAAAACATTGTTCAGGAAAATCCGATATTTCCTTGGAGGCAGGGTCAGGTTACTACTCTCAGGTAGATAGAGTGATGGGTCAGGTTACTACTCTCAGGTAGATAGAGTGATGGGTGTTACTTCTTTCAGGTTGATAGAGTGATGGGTCAGGTTACTACTCTTAGGTCCTTGGAGGCAGGGTCAGGTTACTACTCTCAGGTAGATAGAGTGATGGGTCAGGTTACTACTCTCAGGTAGATAGAGTGATGGGTCAGGTTACTTCTTTCAGGTTGATAGAGTGATGGGTCAGGTTACTACTCTTAGGTAGATAGAGTGATTGGTCAGGTTAATACTCTCAGGTTGATAGAGTGATGGGTCAGGTTACTTCTCTTAGGTAGATACTAGATAGAGTGATTGGTCAGGTTACTTCTCTCAGGTTGATAGAGTGATGGGTCAGAGATTACTACTCTCGGGTAGATAGATTGATGGGTCAGGTTAATACTCTGAGGTAGATAGAGTGATGGGTTAGATTACTACTATCAGGTAGATAGAGTGATGGGTTAGATTACTACTCTCGGGTAGATAGATTGATGGGTCAGGTTAATACTCTGAGGTAGATAGAGTGATGAATTAGATTACTACTATCAGGTAGATAAAGTGATGGGTCAGGTTACTACTCTCAGATAGATAGAGTGATGGGTCAGGTTACTACTCTCAGATAGATAAGAGTGATGGGTCAGGTTAATACTCTCAGGTAGATAGAGTGATGGGTTAGATTACTACTCTCAGGTAGATAGAGTGATGGGTCAGGTTAATACTCTCAGGTAGATAGAGTGATGGGTCAGGTTACTATTCTCAGATAGAGAGTGATGGGTCAGGTTAATACTCTCAGGTAGAGATAGAGACCTGGAATATTATTAATTAATCAATGACTTCAAAGTTGTCTTAAAAAATTTTTAATTTTAATAATTTATTTTAATTAAATTTTACAATATTTTAAATATTTATATGATATCAGATTTTTATTTTGAGATTTCTTAATTTCTTGTTCTTCCTTTTCCTAGATCGTCCATCCTTCAATCATACTTCGTCTAATTTTGAAAATAAAAAGAAATCGTTTGCGGCATTCAACATTGCTGATTTTAGCAGTATTTTTTTATAAATCAATCATCACAGAATATCCCTAGTTCTGCCAGTTATAAAATGTGGTCTGTCATTTTTGCGCTTTCATAATTACTGGAAATCTGAATAAGACATTTTTACGGTTTTATCTAATAAAATTTTTAATATCTCTGGTATTGCCAATTTAGCGAAAACATTTGATTGATTGATGTTTGATTGATGGATTGATTCATTCATTCATTCATTCATTTATTCACTCATTCATTTGATTGATTCATTCATTCATTTATTGATTCATCTTTTCATTCATTCATTTATTCATCCTTTGATGAAGGTGGCGCCCCTCTAGCTGAGGATACGCATAGTTTATGCCGAAGTTGCCTCAGTACTCCTCTGATACAAGGTAAGAGAATACAAGCAGAATATTATCGTCTAAATCTAGTTTAATAACATTGCCTTGTAAAGTCTTTTATGCTGCTAGTGTAATATTATACACTACAATATTAATCTAGTTTAACAACATTGCTTTGTAAAGTCTTTCATACTGCTATTATAATATTATGCACTACAATGTAAATCTTAAAAATTATGTCTCGAATTGGGAGAAGGAAATAAAAAAAAAATATGTTAAAGAACAAAAAATTTGAATTCTATACACCCCTGTTTAACAAGAGTATAAGCGTAATTTCAATATTGACTTTACATGCAAAGATGGCAATGCCCGATTCACAACAGTAACTTTAAATGCTTTGTCCTATCAAGTATGAATTATATATGCCAATATTCATGTTTATGATTTTGAAAAATTATTAGTTTCAAATGAGGTTTCTTGACTGACTTGCGCATTTCTACTGAAGGAAAGTTATAGGAATTATCAGAATTAAACACTTTTAACCTATATAAAAAAAAAGACATTCCACATTATTCATATTGATCAGATAAAGGTTTCAAGTGTACTGTCGGAAATTGACAACTTTCTTTCTTTCAAAACAACTTTATTTGTTAATAAAATGAGATTTAAAACCATTTTCATTACTTCATTTGTCATCTTTGCTTGTACATACCCTTAACATTGCGCGAACAGGATATGGTTTTATTGGTCAGGATATGGTTTTATTGTTCAGAATATGGTTTTATTCTTCAGGATATGGTTTTATTGTTCAGGATATGGTTTTTATTGTTCAGGATATGGTTTTATTGTTCAGGATATGGTTTTATTGTTCAGGATATGGTTTGACTGAAACTACAGCCTGTGCTACAACTGTTTCTCAGAGAGACAGGTGAACAAGAATAAAAAATAAGAATAAGTAGTTAAATCTTAAAGACAAGCTTTCTGCTTGGAAACTGAACTTTCAACCCACTTAACTTTGATTTTTTAAACCAAGCTAAGAACATTCCTGTAGTTCTACCAAGTTCCCCAATCAAAATTTTTGAAAAATCACTTTGTTCATGAATCATGATCTGATATACAATTACTAATACATGACAATTAAGAAAACCTTTCTTAATATTAATTATTATTAATTTTGATCACATTTTAATTATTATTAATTTTGATCACATTATAATTTTTTATCTTCTTAGCTTTCTTTCAATTTCTCATTTAAAAATTTTAATCCTAAATTGTCAAATAACTTTAAATGTTTTTTTTTTATTTAGGATAACTGGTCGCGTTGGTGCCCCCTTGATGAATGTTGCCATTAAGCTGGTCAACTGGGAGGAGGGGAACTACAGGGTTAAAGATAAACCCTATCCAAGGGGGGAGGTTAGTTAAACCTTCCTTCCTTCCTTCCTTCCTTCCTTCCTTATATTATAGATGGTTCAGAACAGGAGATATTGGAGAGATACATGATGACGGAGTCCTGAAGATCATTGACCGGAAGAAGGATTTGGTTAAACTCCAACATGGAGAATATGTTTCATACGGCAAGGTAAACCTTTCAGGGGTATTTATTTTCAAGAATTATTCGTTATTCTTCATTCTTAATTGTACTTTATACAGCGAATAACACCTAGAATGATAATTTAAGAATTTTTTTTCCGTATAGGTTTTTTATTTTTATTTTCTGTATATTTTTACAAGTTGAGATTAGATTACATATTATATATTAAAACGGAAATTACATGTATTTAATGTGTGTTACTGAATGGAAACAACTATTTTTCTAATATTAGTTGATTTTGTCCCATAACTTTAAGAAAATTAGAACCTCTTAAAAGTTAGAATTTTAATTTTACTTATTTCATTGATACAAAGAATTTGCTATAAATAAGAATTTATCAATGACTGTCCTATCTATCATTTTTCTTGAATTCTAGAACTAAAGTTTTCGCAGATTAAGCCCAGATTAGAAAAAATCTAAATCCAAGTCGACTTTACGCCCGAGTAAAAAACGAGAAATGTGTTCATTTACAAACGAGCAAAGGCTCGAGCTTCACCATCCCCATTCTCAATTGCATTTAAATTAAAGAATTGTAATGTTTAATAATAATATGTATTTGGAGGTTGAGAGTGTACTGAATGCAGCTATGTTTGATAATAATATGTATTTGGAGGTTGAGAGTGTACTGAATGCAGCTATGTTTGATAATAATATGTATTTTGAGGTTGAGAGTGTACTGAAGACAGCTGTTTAATAATAATATGTATTTGGAGGTTGAGAGTGTACTGAAGACAGCTGTTTAATAATAATATGTATTTTTAGGTTGAGAGTGTACTGAAGACAGCTCCTATTGTTGAAAGTATCTGCGCTTATGCCGATCCATCCAAGGAATTTAAACAATTTTCTAATTTAAAAAAAATAAATTTAAATTTATAATTTTAAAGGGAAGTGTTTTTGTTATTTCAAGTGATTCTTCATTTAAATCAATAATGTTGTAGATTTTGTCATTTTTAAAGCTTTAAGTGTTCTTGTTGTTCAGAAATGCGCAAGTCATTAAATAGTAACATTACTTTTTTTACGGAAAAGGGTACCATTGCAAATCGGAAATACCACTTGGTAAATTGAAATTACGTTTACAGTCCCTTTAAACAAACTTTGAAAAATTTCGATTGAAAATATTTTTCCCAGAAATGAGGCTTAGATATCTGCTCGGATACAAGTTTTAAAAACACGAGAAATATCTGTAAACATGTTAGATTTATATCTTTATTTATATTTATTTATATTTATATCGTAATACTTTCAGATTCCTTGAATTGAGCTTTGGGCAAAAATAAGAAAAATTAAAGTTGTTTTAATGTAGGATTTTATTATCGCAATCATTATCCCGGACAAGAATGCTCTACAGGCGTTTAATCCACGTAAATATTTATTCAATTATATTCTGGGGCCAATTATGGGAGGAGGAGGGGTTGTAGCCATAGAGAATAGAATATATAATAGAGGGGAATTTAAAGAATCTCTCGGTATGAATTTTTTCAGTCCCTTTCAGCCTGAAAGGGAGTTCAAAGTTTACAAATCATGTAAATGTTCACAAATTATATGCAATAGAGTACATTGATACAGTATGTTCCCTAGACTATTCATTTCAATTTCGAATTTTGTAAAGCTGTTAAATAAACTTAATAATGAATTAGGTGAATAAAAAACCTCATTTTATTTATAGTTATAACGGAAAATCATCGTTTGCAAAGTGAAAGGCATAGGGTCTATGTGAAACCAGCCTATTTCATAATTTGGTTTTCTTAAAATATTAATTTTAGATTTTCTATAAAATGATGTTCCAGGGCCCAAAAGGTTATATAGCATAAATATGTGAAGTACACTTCAAAGACGATTTTGTATTGTTGCACAATAAGCTTCAAATCGTTCTATTGATTGATTGACTGACTGACTGACTGACTGACTGACTGACTGACTGACTGACTGACTGACTGACTGACTGACTGACTGACTGTTTTCTTCTAGTGATTGAGCTGAAGGAGTGCTGCCGAGATATGGAAGTGCAAACAGAGGTATGGAGAAATTTTAATATTAAAGAGCTGTATTTGTGTGATGTTAAGAGTATTGCTTGTTCTCGATGAATGGACCCCTGATAATGGGTTGGTTACAGCAGCTTTCAAGATCAGGAGGTGAATTTATAAAACATTTATCTAAACATTTAGATTTAGCATGATCACCCTTTTATAAGACTAGCCTGAGATGTGACTTTAATATTGTTTTTTCCTTTACTCCGCTTTAGTAATAGGATAGGTGTAATATCGTTTAGAAAAGCCATATTGTAAAATTGTTAAGAGCCGGACAACGTCATGCACTCAGCTAGTCAACAATAAAGTTTAAAATAAATATGCAAAAATTGTTTAAAAGACGTTTTTAAGGAGTCATTTTGGTATTTTTTCAATTAATCTGAGTTTCTCCATTTTTAGGAAATTTATCTACGACGAATACCGGAAAGAGATTGACCGTGTATACAGTGGAATCTAATCTAAATGTGTCAAATTGTCGGGGTTTAACCTTAGTGAAGTATTTAGTTACAGTGTATGTATTGAAATGGTTGTAAACAATGATTAATTTTAATGTGGATCCGGGTTAAGGTCGATATTTTGCCCCTTGGATCCGGATCCGTGGAATTGCAATATATTTTCGTATCCGTATCCAGGAAGCCAAAATGGTGCGGATCTCTGGGATCCGGATCCACGGCATTAGATGTAAAAAATGTTTTTTTAAGTTTTGTTATTTCACGATTTATCAATAAGAAACTTTTTACCTTTTATGCATGCAATAGTTCATTTTTGTTTAGTTAAAAAATAAAGTGCTACCGAGTGATCAAGTGATATTATGATATATCCCCCCCCCCCCCCATATATGTAATTTGTTTATCTCGTTGCAAGCCAAATCTAGCCTGAGCTTATTGATAAATAAATTGTAAATTAATTAGTCGCGCATTTTATTTTGTTTGGCGCCAGATAAAGTTTTTTTTTTCAGGAAAAATGGGTGAAAATGATTCACACAACATTCTTGTGGAAAAGAATAAACGTCTGTCTAGCGATCTCAGCGAACTTAGTGATAAGCCGAGCAACGAACCGAATATTATGAATAAAACAAATTTATCAGCTTCGGAAAATAGACTATTAACAGAAGACCAATCTAGAAAAACAGATGATGAAGAGAAAGTTAAAAACTGTGATTTGATAAATGAAAATGGATTAATAGTTATAAATGTAAGATCTGCTGAAACTGAAGAAGAAACTACTAATAATGAAGATGAAAAGTCAATTGACGAAGAGAATGTTAAAGTGATGATTATTGATGAGAAGGAAGAGGAGAAAGGAGAAAAGCAGAAAACAGAAGAGAAACAGGAAAATACAGAGGACAGCGGCCCACGAAGAACCGGAAGAAAACGAGCATTTAACTATCTGAACAGTGAACATCAAGTAAGAGAACTGCAGGGTTGTATATTTTCAAGAATGATGAGTATGAAATAAACTGGTGGATTCACCCCNTATAATAAGGTTGGTTACTCTCTATGCGCTCGCTCCAATGTAAGGAAAATGTCGTCTCTGAAGACAGATAGATGTACACCTAATACGACGTCACTCTCGCCTCTATAATCAGCGACGCCATATTAGGTGAATATCTATCTACCTTAGGAGACATTTTCCGTACATTGGAGCGCATCGGAAGTAACCAACCTTAATATTCAACCTTGGTTTAATTCGAATATTTTTTTAAGGGAGTGACCGTCTATGTAAGGTAGTTCAAATGAGTATGCAGTGTTGTGGAAAACTTCTTTTGGATTCATTTGAGACAAATTAAACTTTTTAAAAATCTGTAAATCCTGAGTTTGAGCGCAAATTCGACGTCCAAAACTTCTACTTTGGAGGTGGATACGTTTTCAGAATTAGTTTTTTTTTAATTATTAAATAACGACAACGAAAAATAAAGTAAATATTATACATACAGTAATCTAATTAGATGGTTAGGAACATATTTCTCAAAAGAAAGTTGTCAATAAATCAATGTTAAAATCGATTATTTCTTTTTATTGTATTTGTTATTTTCTTTGAATTTTTTCGCAGATTTCTTCAATTCTTCAAATGTCGTCTTTCCAATAATAATTCTATAAAATCTTTTTGAATAATAAGACACCAGAATAATGAGAAACTAGAAAGTAAGAATTGAACAAGATTGCTTATTTTCGATGATAACATAAATTTTTATTTTCTCAACATGTTCCTTTACATGACGTCTGTAGTTTATTGTAGACCTTTTTTACATTTTATGTCGTCGTTATTTAATAATTTTAAAAAAACTAATTCTGAAAACGTATCTACCCCCAAAGTAGGAGTTCTGAACGTCAAATTTGCGCTCAAACTCAGGATTTACAGATCTTTAAAAAGTTTAATTTGTCTCAAATGAATCCGAAAGAAAGAAGTTTTCCACAACACTGCATACTCAGTTCAACTACCTTACTTAGACGGTCACTCCCTTTAAGGAAGAAGCGAAATGATTTTTCTAGAAAATTAATACCTATACATGTTGTAAATACCGTACTCTTATAACTTCGTCCCAAACTGTCCAGGCACAACCCGTCCGCTATCAAATTCATCCAGAACAGAAGCCACCAGATTACAATCCCTTGAACTATCAACGCCACTACCACTGGGCGCGATCTCGATAGATATTCAACAAGCTATTACTCAGGCTCTAAATGTCACACAGGGACACAAGCATAGCTAACTAACAAGCTACTACTCAAGCTCTAAATGCCACACAGGGACACAAGCATAGCTATCTAACAAGCTATTACTCAAGCTCTAAATGCCACACAGGGACACAAGCATAGCTATCAAACGAGCTATTACTCAGGCTCTATATGCCACACAGGGACACAAGCATAGCTATCAAACAAGCTATTACTCGGGCTCTAAAGGCCACACAGGGAAACAAGCGTAGCTATCAATTAAGCTATTATTCTAAATGCCACACAAGGACACAAGCTTAGCTATCAAACAAGCTATTACTCCGGCTCTAAATGCCACACAGGGACACAAGCACGTTTCCCCTTGATTTTATTTCTTTCACATTTTGCTCACATGAAAGACTGTAGTGGAAATACAAATTGACAAACTACAGTCTATTCGGTTTGCAAAATTGGCAAACTACAGTCTAATCGGTTTGCAAAATTGACAAACTACAGTCTAGTCGGTTTCCAAAATTGACAAACATAGTCTAGTTAGTTTTTTACATGCCCCTGAAACCGGAGTTAAAAGGATGTTAAGTGCTTCTTTTATTAGACAGTGCAATAAATGGTTCACAATTAATTCTGAGAAATCGATATTTGTATTATTGTTTGTTGTAGTTTTTTGTCCTTGTTCCAGTCTTAGTACAGCTACTTCCCTATAATTCTGATATGAGCTTGAGCTTGAGCTTGAGCTTGAGCTTGAGCTAGAGCTAGAGCTAGAGCTAGAGCTAGAGCTAGAGCTAGAGCTAGAGCTAGAGCTAGAGCTAGAGCTAGAGCTAGAGCTAGAGCTAGAGCTAGGGCTAGGGCTAGGGCTTGAGCTTTATATAAAATTGTTTAATAATGTTTTATTTTGTTACCAGGATCTACGTAGAACCGTGAGAAAGGGAGATCCTGAGGAGCTGAAGGTGTTATTAAAAACTATATCCTCTGAGGATATTATAAATATCAGAGATGACGAAGGTAAGATTTTGAAAAGTATATCCTCTGAGGATGTTATTAATAACAGAGATGAAGAAGGTAAGATCTTGAAAACTATATCCTCTTAAGCTCGGGACAAAATTAAATCTAAAAAGGCGACGATATTATTAATTTTAGAGATGAACAAGGTAAAATCTATAAAACTGTATATTCTGAGAATATTATTTATATCAGAGATGAAAGATCTTGAAAACTATATCCTCTGAGGATATCATTAATAATAGAGATGAAGAAGGTAAGATCTTGAAAACTAATTTTAATAATAAAATTAATATTCAAAGTCAACTATCAATACTTAAGAAATCCAAAAAGATTTTGATATTAAAGATGTTTTTGTAAATTAACCAATGAAATTAATTAACCAAATAAAAACAGGGAAATCTGCATTTTTTTGGCTAATATGAATGGTTTGTAGAAAGAAATATAAAAATGATTGCTTAAATTTTTAGATAAAAATGTTAATTTTAGGGAACACCGTGTTGAACGAAATCTCAATTAAAACCGCCCAATTTGTGGAGATAGCTCGACTCCTGATCCAGGGACAAAATTTAATAAACAGCGAGACTTAGTTGAACCGAGCAGACTTAGTTGAACCGCGCAGACTTAGTTCAACCGCGCAGACTTAGTTCAACCGTGCATACTTATTTGAACTATGCAGACTTAGTTGAACTGCGCAGACTTAGTTCAACCGCGCAGACTTAGTTGAACCGCACATACTTATTTGAACTGCGCAGACTTAGTTGAACCGCGCAGACTTAGTTGAACCGGAGCACCAGATAAGTCGTTCAACTTTGTCCAAGGGTGTATATTTTCTTGACATTTTTTCCCATTTTTTTCTTATTTAACTTTTGTCCCAGTGAATTAAAAAATGGCCAGGCTTTTATTCCCTGAAATGGTGAAAAAATGGATTTTAGTAAAAATATATCATAAAACGATAAAAAAAAAATTTTCTTTTGTTGTCCAATTTTTAATTTTATTCCCCAGGGCATCAAAAATCATAATAATCTTGAAAATATTAACATCTTGGTTGAAACAACGTCAACTCATTTAAACCGCTTCTATTCAGCATGACCCAGCGCACAAGAGAAGTGTATTAAAGGGACTGTAAGCGTAATTTCAAGTGACCCAACATGCAAAGATGGCAATGCCCGATTCACAATGGAACCTTTAAACCTTTATAAATAATGTGGAAAAAATTATCGTTTTATTAGGTTTTAAAGTGTAAATTCTTAGTTTTTCTACATGTTTTCCTGAAGCTAAAATGCGCAAGTTATTTCTGTGGAGAAACCACATTTAAAAATGACCAGTATATAAAATTATAAACCTGAACATCTAGTAAATACTTGATCAGACAAAGCTTTTAAGGTTACAGTTGTGATTGGGCTACAGTCATTAGGCTTACCGTCCCTATTACTATGTCTTGCTATTTATTAAATCTGGTCCTGCAGCATGACGCAGACGTAATCCTAGCGGATGGTATGGGAAACACACCGTTACACAACTCCCTTCTCTACTACCCAGCTACAGCAGATATGGTTCGCCTTCTTATGGAGAGTGGGGCAAGTTTGGACACTAAGTAAGTGGGGCAAGTATGGACACTAAGTAAGTGGGGCAAGTATAGACACTAAGTAAGTGGGGCAAGTATGGACACTAAGTAAGTGGGGCAAGTATGGACACTAAGTAAGTGGNGGGTTAATATGGACACAAAGTAAATGGGGTTAATATGGACACAAAGTAAATGGGGTTAATATGGACACAAAGTAAATGGGGTTAATATGGACATAAAGTAAGTGGATTGAATTGTCACAAACATTTTCGAGTTTTGATTTATTTTTGATAAATAAATTTTTTTAGTTTTGAGTTAATATGAATTATATACTTTTTTGCAGTCCAATTAAAAGAAGAATTAAGTATTTGTTAAAAAAGGATGAATATTAAAAGGATCTTTCAAGTCATTATAAAACTTTTTGCCATTATTTTTTATTTTACAATTTTTGAACTTTAGCGTAAATCTGATCATAGACGTCTGAATTTAATTTTGCTTTATGTTAATTTGAGGCATATAAGAACATGAAAATATTTATGCTTTGAACACCCTTGAGGCCGATTTTGAAGAATTTGAACCGTCAATAACTGGTTTAAATTGAGCGCCGGCTCAAATCTCTTAACACATTAAAATTTCCAGCTGACCAACCATGGTTAAACCACGTCTCATGTTTAAACCGCGTCTAGACTAGGTCCAAATTCTTTAAATTCGGCCTCTAAAGAACTTAATTTAAACTAAGAACTATCAAATCTTATTTTTTTGGAATATAAGTGGAAGTATTCCCAAACAAATGTTTTGTTTTGGAATATAAGTGGAAGTACTACAAAACAAATTTTTTGTGTAGGAATAGAAGTGGAAGTACTTCCAAACAAATGTTTTGTTTAGGAATAGAAGTGGAAGTACTCCAAAACAAATGTTTTGTACAGGAATATATGTTGAAGTACTCCAAAACAAATGTTCTGTTTAGGAATAGAAGTGGAAGTACTCCAAAACAAATGTTTTGTTTAGGAATAGAAGTGGAAGTACTCCAAAACAAATGTTCTGTTTTGGAATAGAAGTGGAAGTACTCCAAAACAAATGTTTTGTTTAGGAATAGAAGTGGAAGTACTTTCAAAACAAATGTTTTGTTTAGGAATAGAAGTGGAAGTACTCCAATACAAATGTCGGATGACAACGAACTAAACTCTTTTGTTGCAAAGTAAGTTTATCGGAGTATTTTTTGTGGAGTAAAACTTTTATTGAAAGTTTTGAAAGAAATTTCGAAATTACCATTTACAACTGCTTTTGCCCTTTATATTTTCCTTTTTCAATCAAAAGGGACGCGTGAACTCCTAAAAAACTATGGGATGCCGCCACCCCTGCTCTTTTTTAACATCATTGCAACCTGATGTCTTAAACCTCAAAAATTATTAATTCTGCTGGACCAATTAGTCAAAATTTTTCAAAGGTTAACATAACCATTAGCCAGGTTTGGAAGATATAGGGATTAAAAAATTAGACAGAGGCGAGTAATCTGTTCCTTTATTAAGTAACGTAAGTGTAGAACCGGTTACTGTTCTGGAACGCTAGTAATCTATTCCATTATTAAGGAACTTAAGTGTTGAACCAGTTTCTGTTCTGGAACGCTGGTTAAATAACACATCGGATCCGATTACCAGTAAGTTCTTTCGACTGATCATCTAGACGTATAAAATAGTTATTTCTGTTTGTCTGTCTGTTAACTCAATCGGTAAAATATATTTTTTTTGGTGGATTTTAAAAATGAAAAAGTAAACAAATTAATTTCCAATTTTTTACCCCAAATAGTTGAAAACTGTATACTTCAAATTTTAGAATGAACTTGTTATAGCAACTGGAAGTCCATTGATGACAATGTACTCCTGAATTTTAAAATGAACTTGGTAAAGCAACTGGGAGTCCTATGATGACAATGTACTCCTGAATTTTAAAATAAACTTGTAATAGTTACTGGGAGTCCTATGATGACAATGGACTCGTGCCCAGCAAAGGACTCCACCAGAAGTATACTTAAAGGAAGAAGACGCCTAAATCCAGGTTAAATTTTAAAATATGTTAAAGATATTAAGGGGGGGGGGTTCAATTCTCGAGTTAGGATTGGGTTGATATTTTAATATAAAATGTTATTATTTTAAACATTTGAAAACGATGCAAAAATTTACTAGAACTGGATGCTGTAGATGAAACCTCAGCCTTGATATCAGTGTCTAAAGCTATAAAGACGAGTACTAAAAGGACGAGTACCACTGGTGCAAGAGGGACGAAAAGACGACGAGATTCTGACGAAGAATCAGAATTAAAGAAGAAACGAATAAGGAACAAGGACCATTTTGTATTATTTAGTCGGATTTAAAAATCGCATTTTTGTTTCCTAAATTTTTTAACTAATTTTTTCATTTAGTTATTTAATTCCTTTGCGATTTAGTCAAATAGTCAATTTTTTAGTTAGTTAGTCAGTTAGTTATTTAGTCATTTAGTCAGTCAGTTAGTTATTTAGTCATTCAGTTAGTTATTTAGTCTTTAAGTCATTTAGTCAGTTAGTCAGTTAGTTATTTAGTCAGTTATTTAGTCATTTAGTCAGTTAGTTATTTAGTCATTTAGTCATTTCATTTAGTCATTTAGTCATTTAGTCAGTTAGTCAGTTAATCATTTAGTCAGTCAGTTAGTTATTTAGCCATCTAGTCATATAGTTATTTAGCAATTTAGTCTGTTAGTTATTTAGTCATTTAGTTAGTCAGTTAGTTATTTAGTCAGTCAGTTAGTTATTTAGCCATTTAGTTATTTATTCAGTTAGTTAGTTAGTTAGTCAGTTAGTCATTTAGTCAGTTAGTTATTTAGCCATTCAGTCACTGATAGATAAAGTCAATTTTTCAGCTTCATTCATGTTTCATTTATACTATTAATTTTTACATAAATCATTATTTTTAACTGTCCGATTATGATATGGTCCTTTTCTTTAGATTTGCATTAAATGATTCCCTTGGTGCGTGCATAGATCCCGAGTTTAGTGAAGACGACATTTGATATTTGTTTCTCCACTTTTATTTAATGTCTAAATTTTTGTGGTACAGAGAAAATGAAGAAATACAGAGTATGCATTTTAAATTTGATAAATCTAAAGAACCTAATATTTGAATAGTTAGCATCATTCTTTGCCCGTTGTATTAAACATGTTGGTTAAGAATTTTTAAAATATCACATTGAACAAATTGAAAGCTAAGCTATGACCCCTTTGCCATTCCTTTTATTAAACATTTGTCGTGAAAGGGGGAGGGAGGGGGACCCCCTCTTTGTTTTGTGATAAAAAATTCTATTTTTTGTGATTTTAGTAAATAGTACTTTAGTACCGAATGTAACATTTTAAATAAATTGGAATTTAGGTAAATTTTTACAAGATTTTAAAAAAGATCTAGTAATCCGTTTATTATAAATTGTAAAAATCCGTGAGTTTCAAATTCTAATTATTTCAAATTGCTTTCAGATAAAAGTGAGTTGTTGAAAATGGAGTTGATTTTTTTCACAGTTTTAGTCGGAGCTACCCTGGCCCTTCTCATGTATATCAGATTTGTATTCAGGGATAGAACAAAATAGATAATTTACTTGATCGTTTTTTTTAATTTTATCTTCATTAAATCCCTTTAAGCTTCTCAAGTGAACCTTTTACCGATGTGTGTCCAACGCAGTTTTGAAAAGAAGTTGTCAGATCTTTCCCTGGGATAGATAGATAGTTAGATAAAAAAAAAATTCCCCTGTATTATAATTGAAGTTATATTCAAATTTAAAATTTATTAGGTTTATAGGATATTTTAAAAAAATGCATTTCTGACACCCCTAGGCTTAGTACGGCTATATAATTTACCAAAACCATACTGCAGTCCTTCAATTATCATACAGGGAAATTTTTATCTTTCCAAGTTACCTGGGAAAGATCTGACACCTTCTTTTTAGTGTTAATATAAGCAAAAAAAACAGCTTTCAAAGTATTTAAAATTAAAGCATTAATATGAAAAATGTTATCACAAGAAAAAGTCTGTTCTACATTATTTAAAATTTTTAAAAAAAGTTTTTCCTTTACTCTGAATCACCCTAATAATTTATTTAAACTATTTAATATTCAAATTTGTTCAATTATGAGCATTCATTCATTCATATTTTTATTCAACTTCAAAGCATGAGATATTACAAATAAGCAATCACAATTTACTATGCAGTTGGAACCCGCCTAACCAGAGTAGGATGTTTTGAGTGGTTGGCCCTACAGAAACTGAATATTTTACAGGGTTAAAACTGGGGGGGTGGGAAGAATGGGATTTTCTTCCTTAGAAAATTTTTTATTTTGTATTTCGCCTAATTTCTATCATTATCTATTTATCTATCTATGGTTAGTAATAGTAAGGAACAGCAGATATCTGCAGAATCTCAGGAATCAGCGGCTGCAGCTCAGGAGAAGGAAGAACAGAAGGTAACCCCCCCCAATTTTAAGTTTGTTTTATAAAAGGGACTGTAAGCGTCATTTCAATAGATAGCAATGTCCAAAAAAAACCTTCTGATAAATTACGTGTAGGACATTGGCGTTTTTTCAAACTGATAATGTGCGTATCACTTTTGTAGGGAAACCAAAAGTGAAAATAATACGTTTTGAAAATTATAATCGTCTATATTTCAGATAAAGCTTTTAAAGGTACCTTTGTGAATCAGACAGTGTCATTTTTGCATTGAGGGTCACTTAAAGTTTAACGTACAGTCTAAAAAGACGAAGATATCTTCCTTGTTGTTACTCAGATGAATGTTTAAGTGGTACTGCGGTTAATTGGACATATAACTTTAAAAATAGCTTTTATTAATATTGGTATTTACTGGACTTTTTAGACTATTTTGTTAATCAATTAAACAGTCTTACGGGTCAAACTTAATATTAAGATTAAAACATTGCGCTAAAGTTATTTCGGATCGTTAACAAATTTATAAACACTTTAAATTTTTAGTTTTTGTCGATTTTTTTGTGACACATTTAAAATATTTGTATGCTCTCTAGTGGTTGCTCACCTCGTTAAAAGCACACAGTAAGCGCATTCTGGACATGGACTTTAGTCCTAACGGGAAGTACATTGCCACCACCGGAGAGGTAAGTGCAGTGTTATATAGTATATATATATAAACCCCCCTCCCCGCTTTTGAAAATATTTTTTGGCCTTAGACGTTAGGAAGTTTTTAGGCGGTTATTCGCTTAATTAGGGGAAAATGAATCTATAGAGTTAAGAGAGTCAAACATAGTAAAAAACTTATCTTTTTTAACTATTTTTAAAGTTTTTTTGTGCGTAGAATAAGTTTACCATCAGTTTTTTGATCATTCAGAGTCCGAATTTTATGAATTTGAGTCGCGTCTCAAATCCGCAAAAAAATCTGTTTCCATTTAGCGCCGGCTTAAATCTTGAAACATTGGGTACAATTTTAATTGAAACAATCATATTCAAGCCGCGGCTCAACTTCTTCACATTCGGCCTCAGGATGTTTAGGCATTCAGAAGGCTTAAAAAAACTAAGTTTATCATTTTTTTAAATTGAAATTACGCCTACAGTCCCTTATTTAGGATCAGTCTGTTATTGTTTGGTCGGTCAAAGAGTTTGCCCAGAAGGAACACAAGAACTACAGGTAGTTCATTTATATATTCTTATACCCCACACGCTCTCTAATTTTTAACTTGTTTTAAATAAAACATTATCTAAAAGTGAAACCCCCCCCCCCCCCCCC